AAGTCACTAGCTTAGTGATTGGTGGAGCCAGAAGTCTCTGCTACTTCAGTAAGATCATTTTTATTTCCAGCACTAGAAGCTTTAATCTCACGTCCCTTATCGAGTATCTTGTCATTCTCCACTTGTTCAACCAAGGTAACACACCCAACCATCGACTTATCTGTCCGATCTCTAATTTCGTGTACTATCCTAGCATGTCGATTCTTAACTTTTTGAAGCTGCTCACTAGGAGCCTTTGTCTTTTCCTCGCTCCTCAAGTACTTCCATCTCCACTTCAGAAATTCTAGTAGTCTGGCATCCAGAATTGCCCTCAGTTCTCGATTATCTTCTCGAACTACTCTAGTTTCCTCGAATAATCTCCTCCAATTTTCGATTATCGCTAATATCACATTATTTGAGTATGAGTAAGTCCTCTGGCAATCCCATGGAGTCCTAGTTCGACGTGTTGAGTTATACCTCCAACGAGCTCCCCTAGGCCCTTCCTGACAATGGCCACCGGAATGCGTCCTCGAGACGGTTCGATACCACCGTTACCTTCCGTAACTTACAATTAAAATTAAAAGCTTAAATGAGTCCAAGTATTCTAAATAAACTGGATTTGATCATCTCGTACTATCCCACATATCTCTCTTACAAGATCGAGACTCCCAATTGTCCATTAATTCAAACATAGGTTCTAATTTTCATCCCCACAAGCGGTCACTTAACTTCCCAACCAGTCCCATAGTCCGGCATCCTAAACTTCAAGCCTAGGATACACTACAGACATCTGAAGCCTAAACCCTGATACCAACTGTGACGCCCCCACTTCTCCCTAAGACGAAACAAAGGGTATCGACGGGATGCCTGCCCAACTCTCGCCAGGACTCGGTACAATTCTCGTTCAAGCTTAATACAATGATAACCAAAACGACAAGACAAAGTAAGAAAATGCAGATGCTTCCATATATAAATATTCAATCTTACATCACAACTTCAAAATACATTAATTTCCCAAAATATACCACTGCCAGAAGATGTCTACTCGATTACATTTGAAACCCTAACACAAAAGTACATCCCAATGGTTTCTTCGAGTTTCACTCCAAGTACGTTCTTGTTAAGAAAAACAAATCTATGGGGTGAGCGATTGCTCGTGAGGCTAAGAACACACATGCAAGCACGTTGTCCAAGTAGCAATCCCATCCAACAGGTAAAATAATAATATTCGAGTAATTAACAATTCAAGTGAAATTTAAACAGAAACAATTCAAGGATACGGTAGCTCTTAAGAGCTAATTTCCACTTGCTTTGCCAACCTCAATTGAATACCTTTCCACGATGACACTCCGTCACTCGGGTCGGTATTTTTTTTAGTCCGTAGAACTCCACTTTAGTTCACAGGTCCTTCCACCTTACAACCCCCCACCAGGCCCGAACTGCGTTAAAGGCGCTACTGCACGAGTAGGCCAAGCAAGATCTCTCCAATAGATCAAACTTATCATTTCATTCCCACGGCTCACCAAGGTTCTTGACCAATCCCATGCTGGTTAGAGTCCAAGGTCGGCCTATGAATTTGGGCGTCCCCCATTAAGCATTTATGAGTCGAGAAGATTCACTCCAACGACGTATGCAGCCATAGCATACCATTTCATTTCATTCAATCCATTCAATACATTTCAATCCATTCATTTTATTTCAATCAATTCAATCATTATTCATTCAAATGAGAACGAGTGCGGTAAAGTACACACTCGACTCAACATTTTCTAAATCTCCAATTACTAATAACAATTAAGCACGTAACAAGTTCACATACACTTGACACTCACCTAGTCAAAAGGAGAGTGTGTGGCACAATTCAAGTACTTAAGCGTCTGTTGTGAGGTTCTCTTGAATGCCTGAGCAAACAATAGTTATCTATTACACACTTAGAACCCCCAATTATCAAAGAAGATTGCACGCTTCTACAATCTTAGAGAATATCATGAAAATGAGCCTTAATTGCTCAAAATTCAAGGTTCAAAAGTAGTGTTTAATAACACAAGGAAAAACCGGTTTCCTTCATGAAGACAAGTCCAAAATCGTCAATTAGTATTGGAGGATAGGGAAGAGTCTCCAAAACTCAATTCCCGTCAAGTTTGAAAATTTCAGATTTGAGGTGCATTTTTTGAAAAATCATATCTCACTCCTCGTAGGTCCAAAATCGAAAACTTGTTACCCTTGGAAACTAGTTCTGAAGTACTAAAAGTTCCTAGAAGACACTTTTCCATGATTCTAAGTGGAAGACACTTAAAGTTTGGCTTTAAGTTGCTGACTTGTACTCCCAAGACAGATTCGGGGTTGGTTTTTGGCAAATTTTTGGAAATTTGGAAAAAGTCATAGAATGTGAACTAGCCTCTCAAATTTGAAACTCAATTAGAGTTACAATCAACGTTTAAAACACAACAAACGGAACACAAATCGGAGTTTTGTGCGCCAAGATATAGCAGTTCAAAGTTGATTCAAAATGAAGACTATTGGGCAATTTTCCAGATTTGAAACATGAACTTTGGGACTTCAGTTGGGCATCAAAATAGACTTGGAATGGCACCAAATTTGGTATGATTACACCACCATATAAGGGTTACTCCTCTGTCAAATTTCACTTGAAAATTCACAAGGGAAGGTAGTTAACTAAACTACCAAAGTTCAAGGGAATCCGAAGACAAATCTGTCTTGAGCTTCCGTTTTCCGTTTTCAAACATTTGGCCAATGAAATCATCTCAAACATGGTTCATTTATGAAGAAAAGGTCTAAGAAACATCCAAGATACATTTGGTAGGTGATTAACACCAAAATTTTCAAAATAACAAGTCCCAATTCGAGCTAAGCCATCGGCTAGCCCAAAATTAGGGTTTTCTAACTCTGGTGCAGGTCTGTAATTTGTCCATAACTCAGTCAATTCAACTTTGAATTGGGTATAGTTGGTGGCGTTGGAAACTACATTTATAGGGCTAGAATTCATCAGAAGAAATTATTCCAAAATTCTGTCCATAGCTAGCTCAAATTTAAGCAACAAGTCCCAACACCTCATTAACTCTCTAACACGGGAGTGAAACAGGACAGGTAAATTTGAAAAGCTATTACGGTTCACTCAAGTTGAATCAGGGGGTACATTTTTTATTGTTAGAAAACTGAAAATGTCTAGTTTCAAATGCTGCAAACGGCACTTGATTTTACCATCGGAGCAAAGACTTATGTGTGTTCAAAATTCGTTGCCAGAGTACCTCTGTACACGTTTTCCAGGTTTGAAGGATTTTCGAAAATGCAACTTTTACCCAACCAAATCAAGTGATTTTTGGTGGAAGCTTGTCAAACAACCTATACAACATATTTAAATCAAAATCAAGGTCATTTAACCACAAAAAAAATCAAACCAAGACCTCTGCAACAACAGGGCAGAATCGGCTCTTTCCTCCCTTTGGTTTCCTTTTGTTTTCCTTCTACTTTTTCAACTTATATCCACTAGTTTAACACTTAATCAACATAAATAACATCCAAAATCATCATATCAGTCCAATATATTCATTGTGGGATTTTATAGAGCCAAATCACATGATTTTCAACCAACCAAAGTTACCCATATGAAGCTACAAGCTTCTAAGTCCAATCTAACTCACAAAAATCAAGTTTCAAAGGTTGGATCATTCACTACCTCTTGGGTGTTGAAACTCAGAAATTTTGGTCACCTTGAAGCTCCAAGAAAACCGTGAGAATGAAGCCCTCTTCCTAGTCCAAGATATTCTCCAAGTTATTTACAAGTTGTGGTATGAATTTGGAGTGAATTTGATGGAAGAAATGAAGTGATATAGTGAAAGGTTTTGGTCTTCTTTCTCCTTGGGGTGGCCGGCTGCTTTGAGAGAGTGAGAGGGACTGAAAATCTGATAATGAAGCTTCTCATGGAAGCTTGGTGGTTGGTGGCTTTTCTACACAAAAGTCAACTCTCCAATAGTGCGTGTACGCGCGCGTTTCGTACCCGTTTCCTTTCGAGTTTGTTTCACTTGTGCACTAAACCTCTAATGCACTCCCTTAAACATTATAATTATTCATTCTTAGTAGTCTAGATTAAGTTTCTTAAATCTCCACTTAGCCGCTTCGATTCGATTTACACGAATTTCCGATTCGCGCGCGATAAAGTGAAATTTAAAAGAAATTCTTATAACGATAATAGAAGTAACTAATATTAGGGTAATTAATCATAAAAATAGTTATCTTAGAAATAAACCATGAGTATTCACACATTGATTTCTCAAATCTCCAATTTGCCGCGCTGTGTGATTTTCACAAACTTTCGACGCGAACACGGGGTAACTTAATTAGAACTCATTCACCTCTACTTACTCAATTAATTTTTATCAATCTACTATTGATCATTCTTAATTTTCCATGGTAATTGTACTCTCGACTAAAATATCACCTCGAAACACGTATACTCGTTATTCCTCACTTAAACGAACTTTCGAAAAATTAAATTTGCTAACGGGACGTTTTAAAAATATAAGAGAGACATTGTTCCATACGAATGGATTTAAAATGATTGGAATAAATTATTCGGAGAAAACGGGTGAATAAATATTTAAATAAACCAATAATATTCGATAAAAATAAGAAAATTTTTCGGGTCCTCACACTTGTTGATCATAAACATAGAAATCAACTAAAACTCTTCTTTATTTTTTATCCCAAATCATCTTTTTTTTATACCCTAACAAATACTTAATTGATTTTGAGTAAACTTGTAATTTTATTTGAGTTTAGATTTATAAAAGGATAGAGACACGTGATAATGATACAAATAAGAGACAGAGGTAACAGAGATTATTTGGGGGAAAGACTATTCGAAGCCCCCCAGTTGAGGAACTGGCATGTCATTGTCAACTCATCCCGCGGCCACGCCGTTTCTACTCCTTTTCCATTTCTTAACACCCAAGTCCCAAGCTCTTCTACGTCTTTTTCATTTCTTAACACCTAAGCTCTTTTAGCCTTTACCCATTAATTGTTCCCGTATAAATACAGTTACAATCCCAGCAATCAAATTCCACCTATTAGCTTATACATACGTACATACCGGATTGAGTTCGGACCAAAATATTCCTTCGCAAAATCAAGAAATCAACCATGCCCAAATCAAGCTCTCTCTACCCAGAAGTGAATGAATCAAACCCAGAATCTATAGAATCACAACTCTTTGCTTGTGCAGATAAGAAAAGACCCACTTCGCCTTCCTCCTCATCCTCTTTGCACCCTTCTGTCGATTTGAATGATGTGGCGCGAAAGCTCTTTCCGGACGGCGAAGACGACCACGACGTTCAAGTGGAGATTCAGGAGGATCCAGACAGTCAGAGGAATGTTTTGGAGTCATCTGAGGAAGTAATTATCAAAATCCCAGGTGCTATAGTGCATTTGATTGATAAAGAGCAGAGTGTCGAGCTCGCAAATGGAGAACTCTCAATTATTATGCTCCGGCAAGGTGATAACGTCGTGGCTATGTTTGCTAGGATCGAAGATGAAATTCAGTGGCCCTTGGCTAAAGATGAAGCTGCAGTTAAGCTTGACGAGTCCCATTATTTTTTCACTTTACGAGTCCCGCCCGAAAGTACTGACGGTGTCGGGAGCGAAGAGAATGTTTTGAATTATGGGCTGACGATCGCTGCAAAAGGGCAGGAAGGATTGTTGAGGGAGTTGGATGGTGTGTTGGAGAAGTACAGTGCATTTAGAGTGGAGAAGATGGCAGAGAAAGGGGCGGCTGAAGGCTGGTGGGCGCTGGCTAAGGATGTCTCGCCGGAGGAGATGGAGAGAGATGAGAAGAAGGGTCAGTTTGTGGAGAAGAGCTCTGCTGCGTATTGGACTGCGCTGGCTCCTAACGTGGAGGATTACAGTGGAGGTGTTGCGAGGATGATAGCGGCAGGATCAGGGCACCTGGTGAAGGGGATATTGTGGTGTGGAGATGTTACAGTGGACAGGTTGAAGTGGGGAAATGAGTTCGTGAAGATGAGGATGGGCGCGGGAACAGAGTCTGAGATCAGTTCTGAAGCTCTTAGTAGGATGAAAAGGGTCAACAAGATGACAGAAATGTCCGAGGAATTGGCTACAGGAATACTTTCCGGGGTTGTGAAAGTGTCTGGATTCTTCACGAGTTCAATAGCAAACTCAAAGGCAGGGCAAAAGTTTTTCAGCCTTCTTCCTGGGGAGATTGTTCTGGCGTCCTTGGATGGATTTAACAAGGTGTGTGATGCTGTTGAGGTTGCCGGGAAAAATGTGATGTCAACCAGCGCAGTTGTAACAACAGACCTTGTTTCTCAGAAGTATGGGGAACAAGCAGCAGGGGTGACACATGAAGGACTTGGTGCTGCAGGGCATGCTATTGGGACTGCCTGGGCTGTGTTCAGGATTAGGAAGGCTTTCAACCCCAAGAGTGTAATAAAACCTTCTACTCTTGTGAAAGCTACTGCTGAGGCTAATGCTCCCAACCTCAAGGCTGGAGAGAAAATGTAACAGGAGATATATGAACCTATAATTCCTTGAGAATTCTCTATAGGACCAGTATGTTGCTTGTGTTAGAACTTAGAAGTGTAGGCAGTGGTTTGGTTTTCTAATCCGCTAGGGGATTTTTCTTTATACAAAAGAATGTAAATGCTAATGACAGTAATTTTATCTGTTTTGAGTTTTGAGACACTTCTTCACTTCTGATACTTTTCCTGTATTCCTTTGTTCTGCAGAGATTAGTTAACTAGATCAGTTCGTACTGGTTTCAGAAGGAACGCAAAGGATAAGCTGCATTCAGTTTCTCACCCACATTGTTTGCAAATGATGACCTTTTAACTTTAAACTGATAATCATCTTAGTTAATTTTAGTTAAACAAAATCCACAATTGTGCTCTAAAGCTCATTGAAAATGATCCTCCTGCTCTTTTAAGCAAAAAGCAATGGAGTTTCGCTATGAACTTGATGGCAGCAATAACCAGCCTAATTAATGAAATTAGAAATGATACACACCTATGGAAAGAAAAGAATTCTACCAATTTGCAGTTTGTGCTTAACGAGTGTCAACAACTGATCATAAACAATAGAGTTGCTGCAATCCTTGCTCATACAATGATTGATGAGCACAAGCAAACTAGCTGCTCTAAGGAAACAAATACTAGTCAGAAGAATGGTCATGAAGTCTACTCAACTGTCACAATTGCAGTATTGCAAGTGATCAGTTGAATTATTTCTTGCTTAGGCAAGTACATAGTAGAACTGAAAATTCAATCTTTCAATTCTTAATTTTTGGAAAGGCCTTTAGCATTAAAGGAAACAAGCAAAGGACGGATAATCCGTGTGCAAGAGATTCAGACAAAGATGCATATGATGATTTAAGGATCCTGCACAATGATCATCTGATCAAGGCTTCACAAAAATCCCTGCTGAAATCCCTCTCTTTCAAGAGCTGCTGCAGTTCCTGCTTGGGCAATTGTTGGTCAGACAGCATCTGCAAAACTACAAGAACTGTTTTCAGTACTAGATGTCTTCTGAGGAAAATACAGGTCATTTCAGGTAATGAATCCCCATCACTTGAAGGATGAAGTATAAAAATTGCAGAATAAAAATGGTTCACTTTTTTTTTTTTTTTTGACAGAATTCAACTGAAGATGAGTTCAAATGCAACTGATCTTACATACTTATCGTCTTTACTCTTAGTTCTTCAAGTTGCTTTCCATGGTATTCTTCATATATCTATGTTTATTCACTTCACATCTAAGCTCGAAGATTCAGGTCAATCATAATCCGCCACTATCTTTCTCTCTTTCTCTTTCAACTCCAGTGTAAATAAGCCACCTTGAGCAAATGATTGATATGAAACTCAAAACAAAAATGTACAGATTGATATTAGTGGCTATCTTATATTCATTGTTGGCTCTGTTTCCAGATTTAAGGCCTGCAGAATTTGAAGCTTTGAGCTTGTATATAACTCTGTACTTAAGGGATGTATTATTCGTGCTTATATCTGTTACATTCTCGGATCCTATAGAAATGCAGGCAGCAAATTTCATGATAATAATAGGTTCGAGATGTGAACACTAAATTAATTGCAGCAAGAATAAAAATCAAGACCAAAGAAACAAATAGAAGAGTCCTCACATGCAAAGATATCCTGTTGATTCCTTATCTAGATAACGTGTAATAACTATGAAATATACCACATTGTTTTGTAATGCTGCAAGAGCTGAAAAACCATAGTCTTGAAGCAGCAGCACAAAGAACAAGCATAAATAACAAGAAGTTTCTCATTATGAAAAGTAAAATTGTCTTGCCAAGAAAAACGGATACTGGAAGGGTCTCATTTAAAAATAATAATAATAATAATAATAATAATAGCAGATGTTGTTATAGAAAGAGTGGAACAATGCGGCCCTCGTAAACCTGAATGATGGAAAATCACTCAGTTTTCAATCATTGTTAACAATTCGTTAAGGATTTGACATATGCCGTATATTATCCGAACAAGAAATTTAAGAAAGGCTGTTAAGGAATATTCGATTTCAATGTTATATTGCAATTACCTCTATCAACTATGGTTATTTCAGAAAGAACAAAGCTGGATGCTTAATCAGTATGATCCCTTCAGGTTCTGATTCAATTTCATTTTGTAAAACCTTTAAGCAAAAAACTCTGACACACATCAGATGGCTACAATTCGATGGTGATGATAAATTTTTTGGTTAATCACAAAGAATGAGGTATGAGAAACTAATTTTTCCCAAAGATAGTGAGAAAGGTAACTCTAGAATATGACCTAACATAAATGTGTATAATTTCAGGAAATCCAAACTATTATAGATCCAAACATGATGAGACTTAAACAAGCCAATTTTTGGTTTTGATTCAACAATATTTAGCCAATGAAGTGACAAACTGGACTCCCCAAAACTCATATAAATAGACACTTATTTTGTTACAAGTAGTACATTGAAAGTACATGTAAGAAATCAATATGATATAGAATCACGAGATTCAATAGAACCTATAAAAACAAGATACTGTGTATTTGTTAACCTAGTCAAAGAAAGTGTTAAAAACCAATATGATAAAAAGTCATCAGATAAATTTTGGAAATAAAACAGTTCCAAATATTAGAGATTTCTTAAAAGAAAATAAAAACAAATAATCTCAAAGATTTTTGAATCTTGCTTACCAGTTATTAGAAGAATACAACAAAAGGGATCCCCAAGTAAGACGATCATCAAGAATATGGAACTGAACCATTGATGAGAACCTTAAGCCCTTCAATTCCTTCCTCCTCAATTCTCGTCACCAGCTCATCAGTAGATTGTCCGCATCCATCCACTTCAATCACTTGCAAGGTGGGAATGTCTAGAAAAGCAGAAGGCACCTCCTTTAGCTGTTTACAGTTCCGCAATGCTAGGTGCTGCAGATTGGGAAGGTGATCACTGTAGGCATCCCACTGGACAATGTTTAGAGTATCTAATTTCAGGTACTTGAGCTCACGGTACTCATCTTCTTCCATTTCCCATACTTCCCCTTCGAAGGCTCTACAGAGTAGATTGAGAACCTCAAGATTTGGGAATCTTGCAATTGCTGAAATGTGATGCCATGGCAACCGAAAGCTTGACAAGGTGAACTTTTTCAGACTAGAGGGCAAGATAAATGGACTCACATTAGGTGGAGGGCCATAGTAAGAGATCTTCGGCGACTCCAGCTTAGTCAAAACATCCATAGCCGGAAAATGATCATTGTTTCCCAAACAACTATTTGGTTTCACAAACATGCATCCAAGTTTTCGGAGATTAGGGAACCTCCTCAATACTATTTCTGTTTCTTCCACATCAGAGAAACATGGCGATGAAAGTGTCACCAAGTCATACAACTGAGAAAGTTCCACAGGCTTGATACCTTCCAAAATAAATGTAGCATGATTATTGACATGAACATGTCGCAACCGTGCCATGTACCAAATACTATCAGGTAGTATAACTTTTCCCTTTAATCCCTTCACAATGATCGTTTCCAAGTTCCAGAGGTTCGACATTGATGATGGAACAGAATCTATATCTCCACTGACAGCTAAAAACCTCAAGTGTCTACTCCGGAGAAAAATGATGTGCCCATATTGATGCATTCCAAGTCCAGCACTCGAAGAAGTTTAAAGTTGTTAGAAATAAATGAAACGTCACAAGGACATCTGGGATATATATCATTAGTGGCAAAGAAAAGCAAAGAACGGACGTGAGCACCAGAAGGCCTTGACATGACAAAATGGTTCCGCTTTGTGAAAGCGCACAATCGATAATCATCATACCTAATGGAATCTAAATGATCAAAATAACCAAAATCAACACCATAATCTAAATCATCAAATGAAGCATGAGGTTTCTCAATACTTCATAATTATCCGGGAAAAGTTTTCCTCTTTCAATTTGGATTTGCACAAGTCACGTAGTATATCGTGGACATGACATGCTTTCACCCCGCCACTTGATCTTCTCTTTGCAACCATTACTAGGTTTCGACCAACCAGATCCATTAGGTATTCCTCTGCAGGATCTTCTAAGCTTTTTTGCTCACTTTTCTGTACAAACCCTTCACTAATCCATAACCATATTAGCTTTCAAACGAGAATATCTTTTTGTTCCCAGAAAATTCCAAAATACAAAAAGCATGGTCTTAAATGATCTGGCAAGTGCTTGTAGCTTAGTTCCACAATAACCTTGCACTGCATTTCTGGATTATCAAAAATATGCGAGCTCATACTTTCCGCAATTCGATGCCACCAATCTCGTGTTCTATCAGATCTTTCGAGGACACCAGCTATTGCAACAATTGCCAGGGGTAGTCCTCCAGAACTTCTAGAAATTTGCATTCCAATTTCTGACAGTGCCGCTGGACAGTCTTGATCATGAAATATCTTGCTCTGTAGCAGATCCCAACTTTCACTATCGGAGAGTAGACGAAGAGAATGAGGCTTGCTATCTGGTTTAGCTTTTAGACCTACATCGTGAAGACGACTAGTTATTAAAATCCTACTCCCATTTCTGTCACTAGGTAAGGATTTTTCCAAGTCATGCCAAGTCCCAGTGTTCCACATATCCACATATCATCCACAACTATAAGATTCCTTTTCTGCTTCAGCTTTTGATACAACATTAACTCCAAATCTGCATTACCCATTTGAAGAGTATCGGCAGTAGGCTTAGAGATGCTGCTTAAAGTGTCAAGCAATAGATCTCGTTTGTTGTACACTTGTGATACATGACACCAGGCACAAACATGAAAGTTATACGAAATCTTAGGATCGTTGAACACTTCCTTTGCCATAGTTGTCTTGCCTATTCCTGGCATGCCAACAATAGCTACCAAATCTCTCTGCAAGGATCCCCATGTGAGTCTATCAAATATTGCTTGTTCTTGATCATGGAGTTCTACCACAATTTCATCAATTTGTGGGACACTAGATTGGGATATCTCACGTTGAGAGGCCTGGGTGAGGGACTATGATATCAGCGGCCTTCCTCTCATAAATTTCTCTACTCTGAATCTTAAGAAGTCCAGTATCTTCTAAGAGCTAGTCGAGATATGAGAAATGATACCACATACCCCCAACCACATTCAAGTCAATTACATATTCAATCTCATAAACCATATTGATAACACGTGCACCGAGATCTTGGACTTGTTGATTCTCAATGTCCTGCTCAACAACGTCCCTTAGGAAAGACCTAAAGAACTTTAGATCCCCAATGATTGTTTGAATCTGATGCTTCACAGGTGCAATTGATATCGGATTATACTTCAGCATATCCATTAGCTTTCTCAAGAGAAAATCAACGACTCCAGTAACATTAGTTTTGGGGAAATTATGCCGTGGGAACTGGTGATAAGTATCTCTGAGGTCTGCCTTCACATGCATAACTTCATCAAACAAATTACAAAGCAAATGATACATTTTGAAGTCCATCTCTTCTCTCATTCTACTGTCAAGAATTGGTTTGTAAAGCGATATTACCCTCTTAGACACTGAAAAAATCCTTGTGAAGACTAATTTGTCATTTGGTGTATTCTCCTCTAGCTGATGTGTGACTATAGTTCTCCAGAATCTTAGCGTCTGATGAATGGCTTTGACTTGATGTTTCACAAGGTCAAATAAACTTGCATTGCTACGCGGCAAGGCCACAATTGTCGATTCCGCCTTGAAAAGAAAAATCTTCGGAAGCAACATAAAAAACACATCACTGGCCTTGGACTTTGTGACTTCCTTGTCATGGAGAGAGTGATATAAAGATATTACCAGTCTGTTAACTTCCTCAAGAAATGTGAAGATTGGTTGTTCATCTTCTTCGTCCCTTACAGCTTGCGGCAGATCTTTGAAGTATGTTCTCAAGAAACTCAACCTCGCATCAAGGGCTCTATATTGGACAATCGCAAGGTTGAGATCAGGGCCACCGTTTAATTGCCCCACAAGGAAAACCTCTACCTTTATAAGCCAAACCTTTGCAAGCAATATCATAAGATCAGTTCCCATTTCTCGGTCCAACATACACTTCAAAACTACCCCATGCATAATAGCTACTTCAATCTCGGGCAATAGACATTCCACAGCCTCTTCAGACAATTGTCTTGTATTAGTGGTGACAATGGACACTAAGTAATTCAGCTCCTCATAAAGAACATGTAGATACTTGACAAAGCAAGATTCCAGATATGTGTTCCTTGTGCAATTGGTCTCACTCTTCATAGCGTTGAGGAACTGCAGATTCACCTTTAGAAAATCTCACGTAGTTAGATCTATCTTCTGTTGCAAATCAGAAATCTCTTTGCCATCTGGGAATCAATTTCTTCCCTGAACCAGCACAAACAAGACAGATGCGTTGTGTGGATTGCAACATCTCCAACAAATAAAGAGATCTTCTATTCTTGGATCCTGTTCTGGGAAACCGCGCACATCCTTGATGAAACATAAGAACTTTGATAAGTAGTCTTTGAAGGCTCCAAATTGTACCATCAGAGGATGACTATTAGCAAGTTTCTTACTCAAATCCAGCAGATTGTCAGATATGGATATGACAAACTTCTGCCATTGATTATAGTGATGTAAAGGAGAGACAGACAGAATTGAATGGCTTGATAGATAGCCATCCTGATCATAAGCTTCTCTGATTTCTGACTTGATATTCTTAATTTTCTCAAGAAAGTTGAAGAGTAAGGCAATCAACTTAGAGGGACGGAATAAAATATAATTCTTGTTAGATGCTCTTTCTAGGCCTCTCATCTCTAGTATTGCCGTTTCAATTCTCAAGTCAAGGGATTCCAAATTCTACACAACCTTAGAGGCATTAGTCCAGATTGTAACATAACGCAAAAAAGTAGTCAGAAATCTGAACTCCACTTCAAAATTATTGATCTTATTAACCATACAGGTGTGAACCCAAGGATGCAGTTGCAGTCGTGGTTTCAAACCAAAAAACTGCTGTGTTTTTGGCAAAAATGTTCCAGATACCTTCTTCGTCCAGAATTGAGTTTTATACTGTTCAAGCTGCTGCTTCAGGCCCTTCAGATAAAAATTAATACCAGAGATATACGGACGACTAAGAGCCATCAGCTTGGCTATATACTCTTAATAGCTGCTTTGAAATTCTTAGAAATGATCACTCACTCTCCCTCAGATTTCAAGGGAAAAACAATGCAGAATACAAGAGAAAGTCCTGATGCAATAGTATGTTCTGCAATTAGTGACTCACAGGTAGTAGTAGATTCCGTTTGTCCAAGGGACTCACGCAGCAGTTTTCTCCACAATAGGCGAAATGCCAGCCTTTTGTATTTTGTCAAGGACCATTAACAACAAACCAGCAAAATGCACACCGCGTTAATGCGTCATTTTCAAAATTTTCTTTAATACAAGTAGTTGGGTTTTCTGTCTTCGTGAATTTTGAAGGACGACTTATTCTTCTTCAGAAAACGAAAGATGGATTTGGGTTTTCAGTCGTCGTGAGTTTTGAAGGACGACTCATTCTTCTTGAGAAAACGAAGGATGGATTACCGCATATGCAGGTTATGTAGACTTGGCTTTAGCTTTGACGAGTTACCAGTACCACAAGCAGGGTTTGCAGACTTTGTCTTAGCTGTGCAATTATCATACAGTAAAAGGCTAGCTTGCATTTCAAGACGAAAAAAACAGCCGATCCTTTGTCGTATTTTCTGTACCATTTCTATCTACAACGGATCCTCCGTCACATTATTTTGTGTTACTTTTTATTTCACATTTTATTATATTACTATTTTTTTATAAATATTATATTTTAAATTATTTTATTTTTTAAAAATTCAATAACTCTTAATTGAGTAAAAATAAATACAACAGCTTTAAAAAGTAATATATTGTGGAAAATAAAAAAAAATCCAGCAAAAAATTCTTAAAAAATCTCATTTTTTTATGTATTTTAATTTTTTGAATTTATTAAATTTTGTGCGTTGCTTAGTTAATAGTTGTTGGATTTAAGGAAACAAAAAAAAATTAAAATATAATATTTATAAAGAAAAAATAGTAATATGATAAAAGATGAGACAGAAAATAATATAAAAAATGAGATAGAAGATCCATTGCACTGACATGGTCCAAATTCCAACATGTTTAATTGGGCGGAGCAAATACGTGGAGCGTGAATCCAGCAGAAAATGCTCCTGTTAGCTGCGCTCCTGCATGAAGCGGTACCTCTTGGAATCCAGCTCCTAATTGCTTTAGTTGTAAGGATTTCAAATGCGGATTTAATCCAGTTCCTGATAGTAGTAGTAATTGAAATGTTCTCGATCAAAATTTTTTTTTATTTTTTGAAGGATTCTCAATCAAATTTCTAGGTACAAATTTAATTTCAATTTGAAGACTTGTTTAGAATTAGTTATTTTTTAACGAAGAGCCCCAAAGAATACTTTTCTTTGGGAAGGGGGAACGAGACTGCAGGTTGTGTTGTTCCACTCTCATTTTTAATGAAATTTCAAAAGGAACCACAAATTTTGGATCCCACAGAAATGAAAAGCAAACAGAGAAATTAAATAAAGAAATTGACGAATCCAATCTGCATTTTGTGATTATCCGAAAGCCACTAGGGCAGTACTCAGTTTTTTTTA